TTAGAGCAGTTTTTGGCTTACAGGAAAATTGAGCAGAAAATATAGTCCCCATATAACCCTTCTCTCAGCTGTCATGTACAGTTCCCCCATTATTAATATTTTGCATTCGTGTGGTATATTACAACTGATGAACCTATACTGATGTATTATTATTAAAGTCCATAGTTTACATTAGAGTTCACTCTGTGCTCACAGTACATTCTATTGATCTTGACAAATGTGTAATGACATGATTACACCATTACATTATCATACAGGATAGTTTCACTGCCCTAAAAATCTCCCATCCCACTTATTTATTCTTCCAATCTCCCCCTGGACTCCTGGCAACCATTGGTCTTTTTACTCTCTTAGTCTTATCTTTTCCAAAATATCATAAAGTTGGAATCAAGAAGTATGTAGCCTTCCCAGACAGGCTTCTTTTACTTAGCAATATGCAGTTAAGGTCCCTTCAGGTCCTTTCATAGAATGATTTTTTAAAAATAAAAATCACATCATGTCACTATCCTGCTTACAATGCCTTGATGCCTTCCCATTGTTCTAAACCAAAGTCTAAAATATTTAACAAAGTCTAAAACTGTTACTCAAAGTATGGTTTGAAGGGAAGAAAACACATTTTCACCTAGGAGTTTATTCTAAATATAGATTGTCAGGTGCCATCCCGGTATTACTGAGTGATCGTGGACATACTGGCAAGTTCATAAGGTGATTCAGATGCTCACTGAAATTTGAAAACACTGTTGTTAATGGACCTCAGTGATCTTTGCTATGCACTCTCTTGCTAGCCCTAGTGGGGACCATTTTCTCATCCTAAAGCCACTTAAGAATTCCAAAGTGCTAAAAACAAAGATCTTTAATTATCTCCAGAAGAACAAAATGTTATACAGGATTTTTATTTAAATAACATAAAGATAATTAAAATAGCAGTAATAAACAAAAGTTCTACTCTTAGAGTCAGAAATATTCTCCATGGCAAATTACATTGTTTTATTTTCTAAAGCACTTAAATGTCTTAACTATTTGCATTCTATAATAAAGATCTATGCAAGAAGTATGAATGTGCATTGAAGATTTTTACCTTTATTTCTTTTTTTTTCCTTAAGGCAATCTAAAATATTTGAATCTCACTAGACATTTAGCCTTGGATAAACTTTATTTTTCTTTATATTTATGCCATATTCCCTTGATGAAGAACAGAGCTAATCCAGCTAGAAAAACAGAAAGTCATATATGTTTCAATAAGAGCAAAAAGGCATAATAACTTAGTCATCTCAAAACTTACCTGGCTAACTTCTATCCACTTATCACATAACAGCTTAAAGATAATTTCCTCAGGGAAGCCTACTTTGAACTCATCAGCCAAGGCTAGATCCTTCTATTATATCCTTCACTGCACCATAGTATTCTTTGTAATGTAATACTTGATTTTTTTTTTTTTTTTTTTTTTTTGGTGTGTCAGTATCTCCGTTAGATTGTAAATCCCATTAGCAATTTAGAATAGAGACCATGTCTGTCTTATTTTCTGCGCCATCCTCAAGATCCAGGACACTGCTTAAATCAGATGATGCAGTCGATAAATATTTTTTCAGTAAATATAAATGCAATTGCTGTGTGATGTCAGTGAATATTCTTACCCAATCCCTATAACTTCAACATGTATGTCTACTGTCTTGTGCAAGGAAAATTGATTTCCAGAGGCAAATACTTTCAATTACTTTTAAAGAAAGCGTAAAAACTGTGTTTCTTCCTAGGAAGATTATAAAATATATCTGCTGTTGCTTTCTTCTTTATGTTTGGCCTAAAATTTAAATGTTCCTTCTTTTGCCAAAGTTGAATATAATCTACAAATTAATTTCCAAATTAATTACAAAATAAGTATATTCTTAGCAGGCATATTGATCATTTTTGGTCCTTCTCTTTGGGTAGAATCTCTTTTGGGAAAAGTACTGAGGGTTGTTTTTTGTTGTTGTTGTTATTTTTTGCTTTGTTTGGTCATTTGCCATTTGATAGCAAGCATGCAGCAGTTGATCGATAAAAATTAATTTCATTTTCCCTATATATCCCAAAGCTCCTTTTAGAATTTATCTTAGAAGCTTTCTAACAGTTCTTGTTTCTAGAGAAATTACTGTCCTCTTTCTTGTGTATGAGGCTGCTAGAATGAAATGGCAAGTTCAATATCACCCAGTAAAAAACAAAGATGAAATAAAATGTAGGTCTCCTTAATCCTGGCTCACTACTCCCATCACAGCACCAAATTTCTTTGTGGAATAATAATGGGAAACTGTATTCTAACTTGCAAGCCAACAATAACCAAGATCATAATAGGTTGCATAGCTCCAAAGAAAAATGCCTAGCGCGTCAGCAATAAAGACAGGATAGATCCCTGAAATACTGCTTTCCTTGGGATTCAGAATTTATATTCAAAACATTGCAGTTGCTGTGAGACACCACAATAACACTTCTACAGCACAGTTTCAAAGGTCTAATAAATTAGATTCTTCCTTGGCTCAGTCAAAAATACTGTGTTCAGCAGTTTCGACAATGGAAGCTTCATCTAATTAAATTAAGTGCTGTAGAGGCTCAGGCCAGCAATACTACCTCGAGCTGATAGACTCAGGTTCACAATATTGCTAATCTGGCATGCAGCCACCACCAGGATGATCATAGACACTGAGCCAACAATTCGATCTGAAGTAACTGAAAGACAAAAAAGATGCAATTTTCCTTTTAATGGTGCAGCAGTCTTAACAGGAAAATTTATATCTCATCACTACCATATATCTAGAACATTCTTTGGAAGGCCCACTTGTTATTAAATTAGACGTTTAATTCTAAAAAAGACTGTGAGCTCATTACTATTTTAATATGATAGCTAATTTTCTTCCAAAACCATCTATACTGAAAATGGACAATTTTGCTTGAAAATAGTTTTTTCATACTGACAGTTCTCACAGTATATGGAAGATGTACTTTTCTCTTTGTGGGTTTGCCTTTTTCTTTTTACTTGTTTGTGGGTTTTTTTTTTTTTTTTGATAGTTGAAAAAATGAAAGTCAAAGTAAAACTTGCCACACAAGACAATTTCGAATTAGAAAATTAATTACTATATTTTTTTAATCTGGAGGAACATTGTATTTTTAGAATTTTAGGGCACTGATTTTTTCCAGTGAACCTATATAGTTAGATAATTTTATTTACTAAAACTCATAATATAAAATTGCCATAATTTCATTGTTATCAGATTATTGATTTGATTCATAATTAAGACTGATCATAGAGTACTTGTGCAATCATTAATAAATACATTATTATAATCATTCATTTGAGTCAGGGCCTCACCAAACTGCCAGGGTGTGTAAATGAAAGAAAACAAAAGGCACAATGTATATTAGCATAAGCAGGCATATTGATAATTTTTGGTCCTTCCTGTTAGATATAATCTATTTTTAAGAAACTATTTTTAAGAATTTCACTCTTTTAAGAAACAGTGAATAAGAATATTAAACTGTAAATATACCAATTCAGGAAAGTGGAGTCAGATCTAATTATCACTGCAAAGAATTAGTATTATGATATTCTTCTGCGATTTTTGAAACACAAAAGATTGTAAGTTTTGTAATGGGGTCAGGAGGGACCACACAATTTGGGAAATGTAGGAATGAAAAGATCTGTCAAAGCTCTGGACTTTAAATGTCAGGGCAAGAGACTAAAGCTGTAAATGTAACTCTCATTCAGACTCTGAGATTCCAGAGACTATATAAAAATGGTATTTTGATTTGTTATATATAACGACTCTAAGGAAAATGGATGACTTAGTGTAGCATGGTAATAAGTGGCTTATAGGGATATTGGGCTGAAAATGTCAAATGTCAATTTAAGAGAAAAGCAGAGAGTATGCAGTCTTAAAAAATGTTAATTCAAGATGCATCTTAACAAGGTCTACAGGTGATCCGTATGAAAGCTAAAGTTTGGAAAACATGGGATTATGCAATGTTTCCTTGGAGTTAGTAGGCTATGAAGTCCATTAGGATAACATTCCTAATATGTTAACTTTTATATTTATATGTTAATTAATTAATTCTCTCAACAAATACCCTGAAGTTAGCATTACATCTATTGGGTGTTCCAAGAAGATGCAGGACAGAGTTTGAGAGGAAAAAAAAAAAGGAGGTATGGGAGATTAACAGTAACAGATACACTGATATTCTTTCTCTAATCACAGTTTAAGACTACATTATCCCATTTTATTGAGGCAGGTTATAAAATTATATAATTTATGTGCTGCACTCTATTGAGCTGAGTCATTCGGATGGTTTTAGTTTAATATGTCATCCTCTTTAAAGAGCAGTACTTTTAATGAGTCTTCAGATATTTACTTAGGATGATAATGGAAAATTCCAATCTATGCAGTTTGATGGTCATCAGTTACTATTAATAGCTGCTAGAATGCCATATTATCCAACCTTTACGAAATACTTTACCAGGATTTATCTGTTGAAAACTAGGTCCAAGGCCAAGACTACCACTTAGCTCCCCCAGATATTCAAGGAAATATTTACTTACTGATACTTTTCTCAGTGTAAAATGTCAAATTATTACAGACATTTAATAAATGTGTATGCATAAAAATCTTTTTCTTTTCAGGTCATCTACACATCATCAAGTATGAAGAGGGATTCTTCAGATAATCAGGATCAAACACTGATAAACACTAAAGTCTGTATTTATAGTAGAAAACTATCAGACACATACGGGAGGGTTTACAAAAAACTATCAGACACATACGGGAGGGTTTACAAAAGCCTCTTGGCCCAGCTCTTGTACCAGCCACTGTTGCAGCAAAGCTGGGCCACGCAGGCTCAGACCAGATCAGCACCAAGGCGGCTCTCAATGCAAAGTACGTCTTTGTTCCTGCTCTGAGGTTCCTATGACTCTGTGGTCTGGGGCCCTGAGGAGATCAGCTCAGCACTCTTCTTTTTTTTTTTTTTTTTTTTTTTTTTAGCACTCTTCTATGTACAACCCAAACCCCCTGGGGTTTAAGTTCAAGGGGCCACTTCAATCAACGGAATGAAGCCAAGGGGTAAGTGCTTTCCATTTTTGCCTCCTAGGTCAACCGTTCTGACATCTTACAGGTGTTCTCAGACTGTCCACCAGTCACCAGCAACAGCTGCAAAATGGGTGACACATCCCCTCCTGTCTTGCCTTCCTCCACACCCTTTTTACTTGCCTATGTCCGTCACTCGTGTTCCTTTGGATCACTTCCGAAGTAAACCATCAGTACACAACCTTGTGTCCTGAGCTCAGATTTTAGTGAAAAAGAAAAAAAAAAAAAATATATATATATATATATATATACATATACATGAAAAAGTTTGTGTCCCACTATATTCTTACAAGCTCTTTCTCTCATATATTTGCTTGTGTATGGTAGAAATGAAAATATTCTATCAGTCAAAAGGCTTTCAGTTCCCCAGTAAGGATTATACAATTACTAGAGATATACCTCTGGAGTTTCCTGGCTGTGCTGTGTTGTTGTTTTTGTTTTTTGTTTTTTTTTCTTTTTTTTGCTCAGATGCTGAGTTTTCCTGGGTGTGAGTGTCCTTTGACAACTCATCAGATAAACCATCAAAGAAATCTTGTGGCTGTCATGAAAAAGCCTTTATTTCATTACCAAATTTAAACCTTCTCACTTTCAGACCTATTTATAAATAGTGGAGAGCAGTGAGTGTAATCAATAAACCCCTCAATCAAGCTATGAAAGAACACCATATCATCAGACAGGTGTAATGGGGTTGAGAAGGGTCAGAAAAGGGCAGCCAGAATGATGAAGGAGGTGAAGTGGCTTTCCTCTGAGTTTAAACTAAATCATCTGATCATAATGTGACTTAGATTTAACTTTTGCTAGAGCTGAAAGTCTATGTAAAGTCACAGAGTCTTGAAGAGGATAATATGTTCTCCAACTTTCACAGTGTTAGAACTATGATGCATGCTTCACCTACTAAACTGTGCATTTTGAAGACACATTATTAAAAGTACTCCTTAATCCTATGATTTGTGGAGTTATTATTACCCCATGAGGAGCTATCCAAAAAAACTATGAATGATAAATATTCCTAAGTGTTCACTCTAAGAATCTGGCACACGGAAGAGCAAATTTTTGACCTGTTAAGGTGGTTTTCATGGTAGACAGAACCCCTGCATGTGTGTTCCTGGTAGGAGTAAATTTGAGAATACTGTGTTGAATTGGTAGGCCATACTCTAACAGAGAAAAATACATATTCAATGGCTAGCTTATATCTTTATTGACAAAGAGTCAAAATCATGAAGTTATTTATAAAATTCTCTCTTTATATTTCATTTACCCATTTCTACTTCCAGAACCAGGAGTTTCACTGATTTTTACCTGGAGAAAGTCAGAGTGGTCCAAAAAGATGTAATTCCCACTTGTGTTTTAAACCCCGTGGACCTTTAGGCTTTTACCTTCAAGCATAATTGTTGAAACACAAAGAGCTATGAAGAAGAAATGAGAAGATCTTAGTTTAATTTTTACATAATGTTTTTACTACTGAAACTTGAGTGTTTGGCATATCTAATTATCACTTGCTGAGATCAGCTATATATCCTTTTAAGATGAATCAGATACCGTTTATACCTGTATTTCACTAATATTTTCAAGACCATTTTAAGAAGGATAAATAGACACATTTAATGAAGTACCCTAACAGCAGTTGCAAATGATTTCTTAAATGGACAATGCACATCTACGGAGAATGCTTTATTTTTATTGTGATCAGCTTTAACATTTTGTAAGTTTAATTCTCATTTATGGCTTGTACATATAATACATTCACTTGTTCTTGTCTCTGGAAACAACCAAATAATATTTTCTTATATATCTTCCGGATACATTCTATGTATGCACAACAAACTAGGTTTGCTTTTTTGTGGGTGTTTCTTGTGATAATTTAAAGATATAATTTTGGTCCAATGACAGCTTTTGAAATTTAAGTGTGCAAGAGTTTTATTTAAAAAAAAAAAAAAAGATTTATTTATTTATTTTAGAGGCTGGGGAAGGGGAGGGGCAGAAAGAGAGAGAGGAACTCTTTTAAGCAGACTCCGCCCTGAGCACAGAGTCCAACGTGGGGCTCGATCCCTCGACCCTGAGATCACCACCTGAAACCAAGAGTCGGACACTTAACCCAGTGCACCACCCAGGTGCCCCAAGAGATTTCTATCTTTAATATAGTTTATTCATTATCCTGAGCAGCAAGAAACAGGAGTATGTATAATTTTCCCCTCTTCCTTTTTACCACCAAATTTTATTGATCTGTTTTTTGTTCATAATGTTGACATTGGTAATAGCATAATTCAAGAAAGTTTAAGCTGTAAAATGCGACACAGGTTCATTTCTCACACACATAAAGATTGATGGGAGTGGGGAAGCCTCCTTCCATCTGGTAGTGACACCATCTGGAACATGTGGCCTCCAAGGACACCATGGCAACACAGTAGAAAGATGGAGGAAGACACTAGCTCCTAAGAGCCTCCGCCCAGAAGTGACACCTGCTACTTCTGCTCACCGTATTTTCTGTTCATAAGTCTCAAAATTAACTGCAAGGCAGGCTGGGAGAAGTAGAGAGCAGGGAATATTTAGTGGATGCAAACTGTCTCTGTAACATGTTTACTATGCTAAATATACTTAACACTATTGTTTAATGTAGCAACTTTAAACAGCATCATTTGATCAGAAGGTAAAATGCACAGAACATAAGTGCACCTTGAATGATCATCACCCATCAACTCCACATGTAACCTCCACAGATCCGGAAATAGGGCATTATTAGCTCTCCAGAAGTCTTTGATGCTCATTATCAATCACTACCCCCTCTCCTCCTAAAGGGACCACTATCCTAATGCCAAATGCTCTATTTTAGCTTTACTTATTTGGGCACTAATAAACTAATCACCCAAATTGTTTATTTTTATGAGTGACTTTTTTTGGGGGGGGTGCTCAACATTATGTATGTGAGATTTATCCAAGTTGTTAGATGAAGCAAGTGAATCATAGCTACAAAATCCTTGTCATGTGCAGTGCAGATATAACATAGGATTTAATCTGGGAAAGCTTACAGTTAGAGAAGTGGTAGAACACATGCAGTCTTGTGAGCTCTTTTTTGGCAGTGCAGGCTGGACATATATGTTCTTTGTGCACTGTGGCCACCTTATGAGCAGATCGGGCCCGAGGTCGGCCATCAGGTTGGGCATGCAGCCAACACACTGTAAAAACGAATGAGAAAAGTACTCACACCACTTTTTATTTTTATAGGTTAGACTAAAATGCAGTAGGGAACACCAAGCTTCTCTAAGTTGCATAAAATATATAGCGGGGTCCTCAGACCCAGGATCACCACTATGTACTGTACATATGGAGGGGCAAGGTCTGCATACCAAGGGGCCATTGCAGGAAACAGTCTCCAATGTCAGTAATGTTGAAATCAACCTTACTTTCTCTCGATTTAGTCCAGCTAAACCAACTCTGCTAAGCTACCCAAAGGGGGAAGGAAATGAGCTTTTAAGGCAATCTCTCATCATGTTGCATGCAGATGAGTTCATTTATTTTAATTATTATGTAGTATTCAGTTGTATTAATATTCTAGGCTTTATTTGTTTATTCTGTTCTTAATGGGCAATTAGGTAGTTTCCAGATTTGGTTTAATAAAAATGAAGCTGAAGGGTGCCTGGGTGGCTCATTTGGTTAGGCATCAGACTCTTGGTTTTGTCTCAGGTCATGATCTCAGGGATGTGAGATCGAGCCCCATGTAGGGCTCCACACTCAGCATAGGGTCTGCTTAAGATTCTCTGCCTCTGCCGTTACCCCTGCTCTCTCTCTCTTTCTCTCAATCAAAATAAATAAATAAATTAATTAATTAATTAAAAAAAGAATGAAGCTGATCTGAGTTTCCTTGTATATGTCTCTTGGTGTATATATGCACATATGTCTTAGGTCTAAACCTATTAGGGGGATTTCTGGGTTCTAAGAGATGTGTTTGCATACTTCTAGTAGAGAATGCATACAGTTTGTGGTAAAAGGAATGGGAAAAGGGATGTCTACTAATTTCCTTACATATCCTAACTTCATATTACTCAGGGTAATGAATAAAAAGATATCAAAATAGGGAAGTTTAATTATATTTTAAATGTTGTTGCTGCATAAAAAAGTGTTTTTAGCAATTATACTCACATTTGCAGAGTGTCAATATTCCTCTTCCAAGTACTGTCATCAACAGTGGGTATTTTAAGATTTCTTCATTAGCTATACTGGTAAGGGCATAAAAGTGTTTATTGTGGTTTTAGGTTCCATTTTCCTGATCATCCTTTTCATACATATTTCATTTTATAGATATTTATAGCTGGTATTATTATTACATATTTATAAGAGTTATTTAAATATTTGGGTTAAGAGTCTTTTTTGAACATACCTGTTATAAATATCTTCTTTTCACAGATGGCTTGTCTTTTTATTATTTTAGTGGGAGGCGAGGTTATTAGTTGCAAACTGATTTTTAATTGTTATGGCTTCCTGTTGAGCTGAATCTTTCATTATGGTGAAAGTGTTGTTTGAATTTTGGAACATTTCAACTCCACTTATTCTTCTCCTGATTCATGATCATTGCCATCATGTATTTTAATAAACTATAAACCAATGAATAAGATGTTAGTATTATTTATGACCAGTAACATAATTTATATTTCCTGATATATTTAGAATTTTCATTGTTTTCATTCATTGATGCATCACTGAACTTGCTGCTGCAATTAGTTTTATTCTGCCTGAATAAGAAATTTTACTATTTTCATTGGAACAAGACCACTGGTGACAACTTCTGTTTTTGTTATGTTTGAAAATGTCATTTTGCATTATTCTTGGTGAATATTTTCACTGGTTATCGAATTGTAGGTTGCCACTTATTAATTTTCTACTCATGGAAGATATTCTGCCATTATTTTCTGGATTCCATTGTTTTTATTGTTGTTGAGAAGTTTGCTATCACTCTATTCCCTTGAGTACTGTCTATCCTTTTTCCATAATCTTAAAATTTTTTCCTTTATTTCTCTTTTTCAATT